ATTATTATTTTTTATTATTATTACTATTATTATTATTATTATTATTGTTGTTACACACACACACTCACACACACACACACACACACACACACACACACACACACACACACATATATAATGGTGCATTAAAGCGGTACAGTAGCAGACGACAGTGTTACAGCAACGCAAGACACCGGTACAGCGGTACAGTGGTAAAAGACAACGATACAGTAGTGTATGAAAACAGTGCAGTGATACATGACAGCGGTACATGACAGAGGTACAGTGATATATAATATGGTAATAGTCATATACAGAAGCGGTATGATAAGTGGTATAGGACAGTAAGTAATAAGACAGCTATCCACCAACAGTCACTACATTAATCCACACAGTTTATTCACCTGACACTCAACAGGTATTGTCATTAAGCCTCATTAACACCTGTGCCGGCCACCAGCCTGTGTTGAGAATTAATGGGCTAATGGAGGCAAGTGGTCAGGTGTTAATAGGGCAGCTAATAGGGCTAATTAATGGGCTAATGGAGGCAAGTGGTCAGGTGTTAATAGGGCAGCTAATAGGGCTAATTAATGGGCTAATGGGTATAATTAACTAATGGGGTGTTATAGAGTAAATTGTTAATGGGTTGAAAAGTATATCTGACTAATGGGTGTAACTGATGAATGCTTTAATAAGGTAATGGGTTTGTAAATAACATACATACATACATACATACATACATACATACATACATACATACATACAGTACATACAGAGGAGATGTTAAGGGGCTACAAACATACACCTTAAAACGACAAAGAACTAAACTAACGGGAAACAATAACCCAATCAACGGTAAATCAAACCCAACAACAGATAACAGAAGACTCAACCCAGAAATAACACCATCTATCACCCCCCCTCCACCATAACCTGTTAACGGGTCGCTTACAAAAAAAAAGTTCCAACAATTTAAAGAGAAAAAGCTCCATAAACCCTCAAAATTCTGTGTTCTGTTATCGACTAAAGTTCATTCGTTAATTATTATTCTTTTTTAATTATTTGACGTCAATAGATCATTAATAAAAGCCTTACAAACATGAACACACGTTAATGAGATATACGGCTTCACGGTCAATTACAAGCATTAAAACTTTGTCATGCAGGAGAGGGGGGGGGGGGGCTGACTGACTCTGGCTCATGAACTTAACCTAAAAAAAACTATCTAGATAATGATGTAAATTCTCCCGTGTATTGAAATGAGTAATTTTATCAGGTATTGAGGTTACCTGGGTATTTAAGCTCAGGTGTTGGTCGTTGATTAGTTACCTGGGTAATTTATTTCAGGTGGTGATCGTTAATTAGTTACCTGGGTAATTAATCTCAGGTATTGGTCGTTAATTAGTTACCTGGGTAATTATTCTTAGGTGGTGATCGTTAACTAGTTACCTGGGTAATTTATGATGGCAGTTAGGACACTCATCAGGTAAGCTATACGAGGGTCGGTTTGGGCTGTACAATGTAATATGACGCAGCGGGTAGTTAACGAGTCGTGAGGTCGTCCAGAATGTTGAATGGTGCAACAAGTTTTGGCCGGGTGAAGATGGCAGTAAGGTCATTAGGTGTAACAGGAAGACTCACTTACCTCTGTCTTGTTCACTGGTCACACACGAGGAAGAGTCTCGGGGCCGCGGGAGCTGTCGGTGGTGTTAGAGGGCACGAGTGAGCGAGACAAGAGACGCGTGAGGGGCGGCGGTGAGCGCGGGGGTGTGTCAGGTGGCAGAGTGGGGCCCCCAGCTGACCGCGCGCTGGTATATACGCCTCTCAGTACACAGAGGGGGAGGGGCTTTAACCTGGTCACACGCACGCGCTCTAGTACACTCTCCCCCCTCCCTGCCCCCCCACTACACCCTCCCCCTCCTCCCCCCACTACTCTGTCCCCCCCACTACACCCTCCCCTGTCCCTCCACTACACCCTTCCCCTGCCCCCCACTACACCCTCCCCCTGCCCCCCCCCCCCTACCACCCTCCCCTCCCCTCCCCCCACTACACCCTCCCCTCCCCCCTCCGCCCCACTACACCCTCCCCCTCCCCTCCGCCCACCACACCCCTCTACCCCGGGAATCTCCAACACCCTAATAACAGTTTCTCTTGAATCATATGAATATAAGAATGTTCTGAGAAAATAACCTAACCCTAACCTAACCTGACCTACCACCACTACCACGGGTGTGTGGGTGTGTGTGTGTGTGTGTGGGTGTGTGGGTGTGTGTGTGTGTGTGTGTATGGGTGTGTGGGTGTGCGTGTGTGTGTGTGTATGGGTGTGTGGGTGTGCGTGTGTGTGTGTGTGTATGGGTGTGTGGGTGTGTGTGTGTGTGTGTATGGGTGTGTGGGTGTGTGTGTGTGTGTGTGTATGGGTGTGTGGGTGTGTGTGTGTGTGTGTGTGGGTGTGTGGGTGTGTGTGTGTGTGTGTGTGTGATGTGTGGGTGTGTGTGTGTGTGTGTGTATGGTGTGTGGGTGTGTGTGTGTGTGTGTATGGGTGTGGGTGTGTGTGTGTGTGTATGGGTGTGGGTGTGTGTGTGTGTATGGGTGTAATAATAATAATAATAATAATTAACGGTTTATTGAAAGAGCTGGCAGCCAGAAGGCTGAAAATATACAGTTACATATTTGGGGAATACGAATTACAAAATAATATACAAGTAAACATAAGATACAAATAAGATATATATTAACTAGATGTGGAAAAGCTCAAACTACAGTTCATTTCAACATAGTGACAGTGTAAGGAGCAGTGTTTACTGGGAGTGAATACACTGGTTTATTACAAGTTATTGATAATTTTTACAATGGTTGGGACTGGGCTGTTCTATAGCGATCAGTTCGTGCACGTATGGGCTGGATGCGGTTGTGGTGTCGAAACAGCAATTTCGGCTAGGGATCTCAGGTGGTAGTAGGAGCCGGTGTCGAGGATGGTGTAGAAGCTTCTACCAAATTTGCAGATGAGGTCGTGGTGATGGTCAGTGAGAGTCGAAAGGGTCAGTGTGTTGAGCGCTTCTTGATATGTGGAGTAGGAAGGGAGAGTATAATCTTGCATGCCCCTTTTGCACTTTTCTAGGTGTTTACTTGGTGGCATTTAGGAGGAAGACCAGGTGGGGGAGGCATAGGTGAGCTTGGGAAGTATGAATGTTGTGTAAACACTGAGGAGCTCGGGGCAGGAACTCTGAGGGACTTGAGTCGGCGGAGGAGGTGGAGACGGAAACTGAGGATTTGACAACTTCACTGACGGTGGTTTCCAATTTAGTTTGTTGTCTATGGTGACGCCGAGGAACTTCGTGGATCTACAACCTGGAGTGTGTTCGGACCTAGAGTAATGGAAGGAGGTGGGACAATGTCGGAGGAGAGGTTGATGCATAACCATGGTCTTGGTATGGTTGATGGGGACATGGTTGATGGTGCCCAGTTTTGGAGACTGTTCAATAAATCCTGAAGGGCGGTATAGTTGAAGCAGAATTGTTGACGCTGATCCCAATGGTGGAGTCGTCGACATATTTCCAGCGAGCAGGGTTTCTCTTAGGCATCATTGATGAGCATAAGGAAGCAGAGTGGTCCCATCTTGGTGCCTTGGGGGACGCCACAGGTGAGTGACTGAAAGGTGGAGACAGCCCTCGGAAGCGTACAGCTTATGTCGGTCACTGAGGAAGTCTGTAAGCCATGGTATAAGACTTCTCGAAGCCTGAGGTCAATAGCTGTGTGTGTGCGTGTGTGTGTGTGTGTATGGGTGTGGTGTGTGTGTGTGTGTGTGTGTGTGTGTGTGTGTGTGTGTGTGTGGGTGTGATGTGTGTGTGTGTGTGTGTGTGTGTGTGTGTGTGTGTGTGTGTGTGTGTGTGTGTGTGTGTGTTGGGTGTGTGTGTGTGTGTGTGTGGGTGTGTGTGTGTGTGTGTGTGGGGTGTGTATGGATGTGTGTGTGTGTGTGTGTGTGTGTGTGGTGTGTGTGTGTGTGTGTGTGGGTGTGTATGTGCGTGTGTGTGTGTGTGTGTGTGAATTGTCCGCATGATTGTTGAGATGCATATCTGGTTCAAACCCTCCTCCCCACTCCCTCACCTCCCTCACCCTCTCCTCTCTCTCTCACCTTACTCTCACCCTCACCCTCACCACCCTCACCTCTCTCCTCCCTCCTCACCCCCACCTCCCTACCCTCCTCACCTCTCTCTCTCCTCACCCACCCACCTCACCCCCCACTCACCTCACCCCCACCACCTCACCCCCACCTCCCCACTCTCACCTCACCTCACCTCACCCCCACCTCCTCACCCTCACCTCCCACCTCACCTCCACCTGTCACCCTCTCCACCTCACCTCACCCCCACCTCCCCACCTCTCACCTCCTCACCTCCCCACCTCACCTCACCTCCTCACCTCACTCTCCTCACCTCACCTCCTCACACCCCCCACCTCTCACCCCCTCACCTCCACTCTCACCCTCCCTCACTCCCTCACCTCTCACCCCCACCCTCTCACCCCCTCACCTCTCACCTTCACCCCTCACTCCCTCTCACTTCACCTCTCACCTCACTCTCCCCACTCCCCACTCTCCCCACCCCCTCACCTCTCACTCCCTCTCACCCTCCTCACCTGTCTCACTCCTCCCCACCTCTCACTCTGTCATCCGTCACCTCCTCACTTCACCGTCTTCTACTCCAACACCCTCTTCCCAGTCCCACATACTACCTTCACTTACTCCTGCACACACACACACCAGTGACCTCCTTCCCTGTGTGTGTCCATTAGTGACAGAACGGGATCTTTTTCTCTATAAACGAGACGTGTAAATATCCGAGGGAGTTAATGACGTCACATTCACATCGTCCATAGTGTCTGACGTCACTAAACAGATCGTCTCTTAGACAGTTGGAGGAGTGAATCTCTCTACTCCTATACAAAGTGAAGTTTATTACCGCCAGGAGGCAGCACCTGGTGTAAACAACTAAAATAAACACCTGTTTACTTACCAAATGACGTCACCTGGTGGGATGCAGTAGCTGGGCTGGTGACGTTCTTGGCCTGGTGACGTTCTTGACCTGGTGACATTCTTGACCTGGTGACGCTCGTGGCTTTGTGATTCCCTTGGCCTGGTGACGCCCTTGCCTGGTGACGCCCTTGGCCTGGTGATTCCCTTGGCCTGGTGACGCCCTGGCCTGGTGACGCCCTTGGCCTGGTGACGCCCTTGGCCTGGTGACGCCCTTGGCCTGGTGACGCCCTGGCCTGGTGATTCCCTTGGCCTGGTGATTTCCTTGGCCTGGTGATTCCCTTGGCCTGGTGACGCCCTTGGCCTGGTGACGCCCTTGGCCTGGTGACGCCCTTGGCCTGGTGACGTTTGTGGCCTGGTGACATTCTTGGCCTAGTGACGTTCTTGACCTGGTAACGCTCGTGACTTTGTGATTCCTTGGCCTGGTGACGTTCTTGGCCTGGTGACGTTTGTGGCCGGTGACGTTCTTGGCCTGGTGACGTTTGTGGTCTGGTGACGTTCTTGGCCTGGTGACGCTCGTGGCTTTGTGATTCCCTTGGCCTGGTGACGTTTGTGGCCTGGTGACGTTCTTGGCCTGGTGACATTCTTGGCCTAGTGACGTTCTTGACCTGGTGACGCTCGTGGCTTTGTGATTCCATTGGCCTGGTGACGTTCTTGGCCTGGTGACGTTTGTGGCCTGGTGACGTTCTTGGCCTGGTGACGTTTGTGGCCTGGTGACGTTTGTGGCCTGGTGACGCTCGTGGCTTTGTGATTCCCTTGGCCTGGTGACGCTCGTGGCTTTTGATTCCCTTGGCCTGGTGACGTTCTTGGCCTGGTGACGTTCTTGGCCTGGTGACGTTCTTGGCCTGGTGACGCTCATGGCTTGGTGATTCCCTTGGCCTAGTGACATTCTTGGCCTAGTGACGTTCTTGACCTGGTGACGCTCGTGGCTTTGTGATTCCCTTGGCCTGGTGACGCCCTTGGCCTGGTGACGTCCTTGGCCTGGTGACGCTAATGGCTTGGTGATTCCCTTGGCTTGGTGACGCTGTTCCCACAACCCCTACAATAACTCCGAACAACATGAGAGCTGTTTTATGTTCGCGTATACGAGCGGTCACCTCCGCTTAGTCTCACAGAACAAAGATCGTTCATGGGAGACAGGGGTTAGTGTGTGTGTGTAAGAACCATCTAAAGGGAAATACAACATATATCCCTATAATTATCACTTTAGAAATACATTGGTCATTCGTTTTCCATGACTCGTTGTTTTTCACTCTTGTAGATGGCGCCACCAGTTCACGTCAGGCCATCACGTTAAAAGTAATGGTCCAGATCTACAGTTTCACTTCCCTATTAACCCTTGGTATAGAATTTGGCGGGAATAGCGAACACTCGAGTGATAAACGAGGTGATTATGTACCTGGCTGGCTGGGTTTGTTTACCTCCGTCGCTACACCGGCCACAGACCTCAGTTCACCAGGTGTCACGGTAGGTGGTGTGCACGACGGACGACTTGGTTACTCGCGTCAGGACGAAGGTAAGCGTTTGTGTGGGCATAACTAAGAGTTCATATTATCTAGTGGCGGTGTTGGGAAGTTTATCATTGCTTATGACATTATTTCAGAAAGTGATCCTCCATGTTTTGTTATTGTAAGTTAGTGAAGAGTTACCGTAGTATCGAACGTCAGGGTTTCTTGGTTTTTCTTTTTATTTACGATGCTTCTGAGCCACAGCAGGTGATTATACACTCCGGTAGTGGGAATTAATATCCTAACGGAGGAAACCTTCTTTGACTATAGTTGACTATAGTTGACTCGAGTTGAGAAGAGGGATTGTAACTTGCATAAGGGATTGGTATCTTTTTTAGAGAGTTGGATTCTTTGTGACGAGTTTCTTGCCATTAGATTGTTCTTGTCTTCCTGGTAAGTTGATCGTCAGAGGTTCTTGGGCGTTATAAAGGATGATACAGTAAAGGGAACTGTATCCTGTATTGTGTGCTTAGTTATGGTGGAGGAGACTTCTTGCCACCAGAAATAATTTGTGGAAGTTCACCAAAATTTGACCCCACATATTTGCATACGACAATCGGCTAAACTAACCTTGTAATTCTTTCCTATCCTTCCTTAAAATCCTTACCGGGGGGCGGCGCTACCGTGTTCCCAAACCAATTGTTTGTTTTTTATCCTTATAAACTTGTTAAGGATCCCGTAACGGCTTAAGTAACATGGTGGGTGGTGGGCAGTGACTGTTCCACCAGACCTGTTACCTTCAATGTCGCTTTCCTGCCGCAGTTTGGTCACTTGTACGGCCTCCCAGTTACCTTCAATGTCGCTTTCCTGCCGCAGTTTGGTCACTTGTACGGCCTCCCAGGAAGTCATATTAGGTCATTAACACACGGTCTTGGTCTTCAACAAGCGCAGATTTTAATAGATGAGAATAACACCATCCCATCTATTGATAAAATAATAAACGGTTCCTGATTTATGTACTGTACAGCCCTGTTAATGTGTTGAACGTATATTATTGTCTATATCACATGTAAGTTTGTATAATTTGTCACCGGCTGCAACTCTATTAATAAACCGTTTATTATTATTTTGTGTTGTGGTAACTTACAGATTTTCCAGTAGACGACGCCATAGTTGTTGGAATCAATGAGTCCTTATGGAAGAACTTAATAGTATCTTAGTTGACTTGGAATCCAATCCTTTAAAATAAAAAGCAAATGACAATCTATCTAGGGGGTATTACAAACCCCCTTATCAGATCCTGTTTCTTAAACATATTGATTATCTCGGATTCACTCCCTTATATCTCCAGAACGGTTGACGCCGCCGTTTTTACTGTAACTAGTTTTCGCCTATAAAGCGCGAAAGATCGTGTCTAGTACTGCCATAGGCTCAGTTTTATACCCTGCGTTTCCCTCGTCTTCCGTGCTCTGCCCACTACAGGTAATTCATGATAGGTTAGAGAAACAAACGAATAAAGAAAATGCTTAAAATTGTACGAAAATGTATTAGTTTAGTTTTTATTACGATCCTCCAAACTGTGCGAGATGTTTTAAGTGATAGTTGTTGTTTGTGAAATGCCTCGACTGTTGGGCGGTTGAGGAAAAAATTGATCCATAGACAGAAATTTAATCGAGAAGTTTGGGAATATATTGGACACAAAGACTTCATAGGTGAAATAATTAAGTTATGTTAGACAGAATAAAAAGGCCAAGGAAAAAATTAATCTTCAATCCCAGAAGCGCAATTTTCTGAAGATTTTAATTAGGCTGTAAGGCAGTGTGTGAGGGATTAGGGATTAATAATTGAAGGAAGAAACATTGGTACAAGATTTTGGGGTTTGTGAGAAGAATTGGTAAAGGGTCTTGGTAGAGGGACGAGTTATGGTGTTTAATGGTACTTTCGTCTTGGCTGTTGTAAGGACAGAAGGTTAATGGCGTTAGACAAGATACTGTAAAACCACTTGAATGCTCGGAAGAAAATTGTCACTTTAGGTTTATATAGGAATTGAGAATAGTGGAAATGTTTATATTTGAATTTTGTTGTTTTGAGTAAGATGTTGACGGTCTCTAGGTGTTCCCCACTTAATGCAGTAGCTAGTAATCGACGGGTGTGGGTTAGCGGGGTGTGGATGGGTAGCTAGTAATCGACGGGTGTGGGTTAGCGGGGTGTGGATGGGTAGCTAGTAATCGACGGGTGTGGGTTAGCGGGGTGTGGATGGGTAGCTAGTAATCGACGGGTGTGGGTTAGCGGGGTGTGGATGGGTAGCTAGTAATCGACGGGTGTGGGTTAGCGGGGTGTGGATGGCTAACGATGAACCTTCTATCTGCCACAGGATGAGAGGACGCTGCCTGTGTCTCGCTCTCGCCCTCTGGTGGTGTGGGTCGGTCGCAGTCACTAACCCTGACTCTCCAGACGAACACCACGAGACGAAGCAAGTGATGTTAACCAGTAAGAACAATGGCATATTAGTTGTTGTATTAGCTCTTGGTTATATCCTAAGAAGCCTCGTGTATATGGTACTTCCCCGCCTTGACTTTGAAGAACATGACTCGCCGGTCTGGTTGAAGAATGAATACATCACCACGAGTATGGTACAAAGATTATTCCACAGTTTAATGGAAGAGAAAGATGTCTTCTATACACCCAGGGAACCGTTCTCGCCCCAGTATTTTTTTCCACAGGATACTATTGAAGAATTAGCTGGAAACATAAAGACGACTGGTGAAAAAACACTCGACACGACACGAGCGGAGGTTGAGGCGAACTTGAAGCGTCTCCGCGACTTGGCTTCTTCCTTAAAGGGCAAGTTAGCCGAGCAGGCGAGGAGGTACAGTAGACTGGTCGAGGTAGACGCTGGGTACGAATACATTGCGGATTTGGTGAACCTGGTGAAGGTAACAGAGGAGAACATAGTGGCGGTGGTGGACTATTATTCCCGGGAGCTGTTCCACAATCTTGGGGAACTACTGAAGGGGCTGAAGAGGAGGTACTCTACCGCGAAGCCTATAGGTTCCAGAGGTGATATTGTTACCATGTTGGATAAAGTTTTTGGATTTCATTGGAAAATGTGCAATAATCCAGATCTTTTGGGAAACACTATTGAAGGCGGGATAATATTTCCAACTGCCCAGGAATTGCATCGTGTTGCGGTGGTCGGTATACGGTTAATGTGTATATATGGTCAACCGCAAGACGACGACTTCACTGAAGACCGCCGCGTCAAGTTAAACCTCTTGCTGAAAGGCTTAAAAGAGAATGATGAAACTGGGGCCAGAGAGGACACAACAGCCAAGTACGATATTTCTGACCTGAGTCGAGTATTGGCGATCTATGAAGTGCAGAAAGGAGCGTTGATGGTGGAATACATACTACGCCAACAGGCAGAACGTCAATGGCGCTTAGCACAGAAACGTATGGAAGCCTTTATAGAAGCGTACAGGAGAACCACTTTGAACTCTGGTGTCTCTCACTCGACCCTCGACTTCGAGACGTTGAAGACCATCGCCAGAACTAGAGCAGCAGATCCATCCGGTGTTCCTCTCGGGCTGTTGAAGGTTATCCGCAACTTGGAATGGGAAAGAAATAGGCAGAAGAGGCAGGAGCCATCCGAAGACCAGAGTTATTGGAATGTGTTTTGGGCGTTCTTTGGCTTTGACACAGACTACGAAATGTCCGTCCCTGGTGAGGATGATTCCACGAGCAAGTATGAGGAGGCAGATTCACAGTATTTAACAGATGCGAGGGAGTTGCCGTATTCACAAGACCTCCACCTACCTACAGGAGAGAGTTACACACACCCGCCGCCCACACAAGAGACCCACGCCCCTACTACTGATGGTAAACATGCATCACTTTATTAAATATCTCAAACCTAAATAAAAATCATGTCGTCCAAGATTATGAACCTTAAAATTTCTTCTTAAACTTGACAAATATTTAAAAAATAAATAAATAAAATCCTCTTAAAACTACCTGTCCAAATCTAATTGTCTCTAACACAGGTGAGGGTGTGTGCGGCCCAGAGAAGAGTTACCTGTCAGGTACAGTCGTCCAGGTGTGTATATTGTCTCCGTACCTAAACTATGCTCTCCTTCCCACATCGTAACCCCTTCCACACCTCAGCTGACCACCTCTAGAATATATAAACTAGTATATTATAATTAGTATAGTTAAAATGTCTCGAGTCTATACTAATTCTTAAACGCAAAATATTTTAAGTTAATAAAATAACTTGTGTGCTGTAGTCTTGTGTAATTAACCATATTTATACCTTATTAGTTTTACTTCTATATACTATTCCATTTTTTTATTTTAGTTGTTTTGATTGTTTATTTTACTAACTTACTTAAACTTGCACTTTTTTTCATGTTTAGTCCATTTTTCCCCTTGACAGTAATATTTTCCCTTGTAAATTCACTACTTGGTGTTGTGTGTTGCAGGGGCCGCCGCCAGTGGAGGTGCGGGGCGGGGAAGAGTCTGTCACGTCGGCGTTTATTAACATGAGGTCCTTTTACGAAGTTGGTAACATGGACCTGGTGGAAATATGTAAGGTTCTTGTACTGTCTTTGGGGCAGGGGATGGTTGCCATTGTGGGTGGGAGGGTTTCCATGGGGTGGGAAGGAAAGAGTTGAAGGGTTGCCGATTGTGGGGTAAGGTTTGGGGGTTAACATTTGTTTGGGTGGCGGAAAGGGTTACTGAAATGGGAGATGGTGAGGGAAGGCTCCATGTTGTTATACATAACAGTAATACGTTGAGTGGTAGACCAGCATCAAACACCTGCGTTACAATACTTAATGAGACGCGTGTGATCCTCTTGAGAACTTGTAGTGATTTGTTAAGACATGAGAGGTGGCGTAGGCTGCTGTCTCATCCAGCCAGAGTACTCGACCTCTCCCATGTCTGACTATATACGTCCTGGGGTTAAAACTGTTGTATATAATCCCTGGGTGTTGGTGGATACCGCGGCTGGCCTCCAGACTCGGGCACATTAACAAGTTTTGCCTCTGGATGTAAACCTGAATGCCATGGTCTGGAGGACAGCGTAGGCCTGACTTTACATTGGCCACTTTAGGCTGACACATGGCCACCGGAGCCCGTCACATGGCCTACCAGAGCCCCAACTAGTGAGGTAAGTCGGGTCTTGTTGATTATTGAATACCTGATGTTGTTGACAGTGACACTGACGAAGGTGACGAGGTCGGTGGTGAAGGTGGACAGCTGGGAGGAGGCGCGCGTCGCTCTGCACATCCCGGCAGACCTCCTCACTAGACACGAACACTACAGCCAGAATACTACCACCGGGTTAACTGGATATGCACAGGTGAGTCTTGGCACAACTGCCGGGTGAGACAGGGGGCTACTCATAGGTGTAACAAAAACTAGTATAGCGGACTGGTTTTTCCACTAGATAGAACCAATATAGCGGACTAGTTCTATATAGTGGACTGGTTCTACACTTACTAACTGTAGATAACTTTGGTGTTCGCAGCTGGTCAAGTGTGTGAGCGGGGACGTCTGCCTCGAGTGTGACCTTCATGCCAAGTTCGAGTCGGGGATGACCGTGTGTTGCTACGGCTGTCCTTCCCAACCTCACTTGACGTTCTCGGGGGGACGCGGTTACTGTGCCTGCTTCTACCTCGCTGAACCACCAAACGCTGAGGGGTAGTTAGTGACCTGGAGGAGGTGGGTCGTGCTGGAGAAAGTGTTGAGGGGTCGTACTGGAGGACTCGGTCTCTTGTGGCTCCAACACTGCTTTCTTCTCCCTTCCTCTTCATTCCTTCCATTCCTCTTCTCCCTTCCTCTTCATTCCTTCCATTCCTCTTCTCCCTTCCTCTTCATTCCTTCCTTTCCTCCCTTCCTCCCTGCCTGATCCGGAGAAAAGAATACCAACTGTTAATATATAATTTCCCTAAACAATAATTTGGTAAATTTTTATCACCTGAACTTATAAAAATTGACCTGTTAACCATTTCATAATTTAATACGAATTTAAACTATATTTTACCAATGTATATCGTGTAGTTTAATATATTGATGAACATTAAATATGTTCTGGTGTCGAGTTGAACTTTTCCTTAAACCTTCGTCCGCCACAAGATCTACAATTGCCTGATAATGTGGTGTAGGGAAGCTGCTAACAGGTAGAAGCTGCCACTACTGACACCTTTAACCACCGACACCTTTAACTACCGATACTGAGAACTGCCATAAGAAAAAATTAAATCCCACTTAAATTCTAATGGCGCAGTAGTACCTTGATGTGAGTGGCAGCCTTTACCTCACGGCCTAGTGGAGGTTTATGGGCGGTGGTAGACTGAGGAGGAGCTGGGGGTAGATGATGGACGAAGGAGGAAGAGAGAAAGTCCTCGTCTCTTGACCTAAAGATCAACTCTTGATTGGATACTCAAAACAGCGACAGATGTGAGGAGGAAAATACGTCATATGAAGGAGGATGAGGAAAGTGCGTCATCGTAAGGAGGGAGAGGAAGGGAGGAGGAGGAGGAGGAAAGTGCGTCATGGTAACGAAGAGGAAGGAAGTGAACGGTATCGTGTAAGTATTAACGTCTCTTGTCACACCTACATTTACAGTATCTGCTTTTATTGTATCAAAACCGTTTTATCGGAAACTATCATGCAAGTAGATAAAAAATTACCATTGCAATAAACATATTTACCAACTAGACATAATCCTGACAGCTCTGTCCTCTTGTTCAACCTTATTACTGTACAACCCATGGTGTACTGCTCCCACATTATACTTGTTTTTCAATTCCACTAATTTAAGTATATGCTTATAATATAAAATCAATAAATATTGAGATAACCATAGTAAGATATTATTACCACCATGCTATTGTACTATTCCAGATGATACTAAATGTTACATAATACTTCCTTGAGATAAATGTATAGTATATATCAGGTGCCTACAAGAGAGCTCAGGTTCTCAAATGGCTCAGCCATGTTAATATTGTTATTATCCACTATCTGTTTTCTGGCTAAATAAAGTGTTTAAATTCAAAATTCAATGAGATGTCAGGGAGTGAGGTGTACCGTTGATCTCCTGTACCGTATTTGACGAAGGGAAAAGGAACGAGGGTGGGTCGGTTAAGTCTTGCCAAAAGCATCAATGCCGATACAGCTTAAGTCAGGTGTAGAGTTCACTTGAGACAGGTGTAGAGTTCACTTGAGTCAGGTGTATAAAGTATAAAGATGTTACTAAAATATACAGAATTTACAGGTTCTCTTTTATATATTAAATGTATTAATTTTATTTTTGTTATAAGTTAAAGCCGTAATGTAGAGCAACTTAAGGGATTTGGATTTGTTTTTACCGAGATATTAAATGTATTTAAGAGTAATTATGATGTTCGAAAAATAAGTTATTTAATTTTCCACTATTTGTATTATTTATTTAATGCTGTAACTACAAACGGTATATTAAATAACATAATAAATCTAGTTTAAACTCCTGCAATTGTGTTTTACCCGCGATTCCTCTTCTGTAACTAATTACCTAATCAAACTATAGTGAGGCGACGGATGATTGAGAATGATTACAGATACTTGTGATAGATAAAAGAATGATTGATGCTGTAAGAATGATTGATGCTGTAAGAATCGATCGACAGGTTGGTGATGAATTTCACAATGATCACTACGTCTACTGTTGTCTCGGTAGAGTTATCGAACTCCTTTGTCCGTTGTCATGTCACACAACAAAAATCATAAGTCATAATTGTCCTTTATTTAATCTATCGTTTAATACTGTCCTTATCTTTTGTTAATGTTCTTTAAAATAGAAAAATTATCTGTTTTTGCTTTCTATAGGTTCTAGATAAAACAATGATTCGATTACATATAAATGGGTTTAAAATCCCTTAAAAACAAAATCTAAACTATAGATTCTTAAAAAAAAAATAAATTCACTTTTCATTTGTTTTTTTGTTTTGTTTCGTGGTTGGTTTTCCTCCCGCCTGTTTCGTACTTTTCCCTGCCCCACATCTACTGCCCTCTCAGCCACAGTTCCCAGGACGTGCAGTACATCTTTCACAGCAGCTTCTGTCACTCAGCAGGAAATATATTCATCCACGAGAATATGTATTCATGTTGAGGAGGAGGGAAAGGTAGACTGTCTAGTGTTTCATGGTAAGAGAGTGTGTGTGTGTGTGTGCGTGTAAGAGACATGGTCATTCTCCTGCCTGGCATTCCACTTACTGAAGCGTCACCACACACTAGCATCACACCAGATCATCTTGATATACCCACAGCAACACCACCCCCTCCCCCCCTCTTGTTGTGGTGACCGTGTGTGGTGTGGGAGACCTGGTAACTGTTTGGTCCAGTCTATATGTTTTTGTATTTTCTTTAGTATATGTGTATATTTTTGTTTATACGTCACTGAATGTTTACAGCTGGTGTTGGTTAGTTGTGGCAGCGGAAAGAAATGGAAATACGGGTGATGTTTTTTTATATTACGCAGACAGACATCACCTTTATGATTACACAGGTATTAGTAACAGGTGTATGGGGCTACGTCACGCACCTCCTCCCCCTCATTCCAAAAAGTATTCTTTCTGCCTTAACACCACCACCCTCCTCTGCCTCCTCCTGTTGATCACGGACGGGTAGTGGAGCCTCTTGACCTTGATTTTTTATCATTCACGTACAGTACTTGTTGTCTCTTCCTTCTGCAGGAGTCTTGTTGTTGAAAGAGAATTTGGTGTGCTTGTGTGTGGGTGTGTGTGTTTGTGTGGGGGTGTGTGTGTGTGTGTCGCTCCTCCAGGTACGCCCAGCAGGAGACAGCGCCTCTGCTGATAAAAACGTCAACACAGTCTTCATACCTGGGAGTGTAATGATGTGTTTTACCTCTAGGGTGTTGATGCCGCCTTGACAGTCGTCCTCATTCTGTGATGCATTTTATACCTAGGTCGTGGTAAGGACACAAACACACACGCAAACACACACACACACGCACGCGCGCGCACACACACACATGCAAACGCAAACACACACTCCCACACTTCAGAGCATCTCATTTCACTCCCATATGACTTGAGCTACAGTTTGAGAGTACGACTTACGACCCCCTCACCTATACGACCTACGACCCCTTCACCTATTCGACCTACGACCCCTTCACCTATTCGACCTACGACCCCTTCACCTATTCGACCTACGACCCCTTCACCTATTCGACCTACGACCCCTTCACCTATACGACCTACGACCCCTTCACCTACACGACCTACGACCCTTCACCTATTCGACCTACCCTTCACCTACGACCTACGACCCCTTCACCTACACGACCTACGACCCCTTCACCTACACGACCTACGACCCCTTCACCTACACCTACGACCCCTTCACCTACACGACCTACGACCCCTTCACCTATACGACCTACGACCCCTTCACCTACACGACCTACTGTAATGAGTGATTGTCAGACCAAACCTTACAGCCCAGAATTATGTCACATATAACAGCAAGTACACCACAGACCTCGTGGTACCACCGCATTCCAGGTTGACACACCTCAGGTCGACCCTAGGGACTTGACCTGGCCCGCTAATGACGTGAGCCGGTGACCTACAACCGCACCTAGCCAAGACACCTGGCCAGGACCACACCTGCACACAATTATCCAGATCAAACCAGTTTAGTGTTAATTGTTAGAGGTCAGAAGCCGGCTGGGCCGACCCCATATAAAGGCCCTACAGTCCCGTCCACGGGCATTCCATTTCGGCATTCGAGATTCCATTCGGGATTCCATTACGATTCTCATTCTGGTTGCTGTCATCTCTCTCCCGTTCGGGTCGTCACTCGGTTCACTTCTCAGTCAAGCTCACCCTCTCCCCAAGTCGGGAAGGGGGCTTCCCGACCAGACCCCAGCTAAGCAGAAACCTCTCATTGGAGGCAGCCCAGCCAGCACTCACTGGGCCTACGTCAGGGTACACGTGAGTCTTTTCAGAACGTCCTAGGGTGAGTTACCTACTGTGGGAAGTGTATTCATTCAGGTGTGTCCGAGAGTCAGTGTCAAGTAACGTAAAGCATGATGTGTTTGTACCCCGATATAACAGTGATATTAATGTGTCCATGTCATTGAGTGAAGTAATAAATAGTTGTATCAAGAGGTGTTTAACAAGTTGTCCCTTTAAGAAGTGATATATGTGTATTGACATACGAGATAAGATAAGCGTAGTGACGCTGTGCAAATAACATCCAGGCCACGCTACCAAGTTTCCTATCTTTACATTCCTACTCTCTATACTTCCCACTTATATATATATTTATATTCTTCCTGTGAGATTTGTCTCATTACACTACGACCCCTTCACTTATACGACCTACGACCCCTTCACCTACACGACCTACGACCCCTTCACCTACACGACCTACGACCCCTTCACCTACACGACCTACGACCTCGGGAGAATACCTCAGTGGCGGGTCGTCCCAACTAGTGTGAACATCAGGTACCGAAGAAAGACTTAGAATATTTACTTATTATACGAGTTTGTGTAATATGTAAGTGAAGCAAAGACCACTTGTATACACTTAAGTGAAGCAGAAGACACTTTGCTTCACTGAGAAACAAGGAGTGTAGAGAGAGTGTGTTCATCTGTTATACACTTGACAACACTCGGGGCCTTTACACTTTTCTCCTGTCATGGTGTGTGTGTGTGAATTATAAAATGGAATCTAGAGTAACAGGTTGAGAGTGAGACAGAGAGAGACAGAGACAGACAGACAGAGAGAGACAGAGAGACCGAGAGATACATAGTTAACTGCATTAATAAACAAACACCCGTCGTGACATTCCTCTTATTAATACAAATGACCAAATATATAATAATAACAATAAACAAAACTCAGTCATATATTTCCATTAATTTCTACAGCAGACAATTAACATAACGTATAGTGTAACACATTAAAAGTCTAACTAATTAATATTGTTACGTAGGAAATGAGTGAAATAGTTAGGTAAATCTAATTAGTCAGTAATTAAGGTATCCCAGGTGTGTCGGCTGTAGGGAAGATATTCTTAATCTGTCTTTAGATGTTTGTAAAGTTTGTTTTGATTGAGGTAAGATAATGATTATGTACCCCAGTTTATTGTGTGTGGTGATTAGACTCCCTATTGATAATCTAGTTTAACCTAACCTAACCTGACCTAACCTGACCTAACCCGAAAAATAGTTATATGTATATGCAAGAGGAACAACTTTGCATATTCTTCCTGGTTGTAACAAAGTGAGTGTGAGTGAGTGAGTGTGTGAGTGAGTGTGAGTGAGAGAGT